GGTAGCATAGTGGCTAAGGCACTTGACTGCTAACCAGAAGGCTGGCGGTTCAAACCCACCAGCCACTCCTCGGAAGGAAGGTTGGGCAATCCTACTTTCGTAGTGATACTGCCTCGGAAACCCAAGGAGGGCTCGCTATGAGTCAGGGCTGACTCGACGGCACATAACAACAACAACTGTTGTTTTTATTGTTACGTATTTATTATTAAATTAAAAAAACAATCAGTGACTAAATTTCAGATATCAATATGGAAGTGGTGTGAGGGATAGAGAGCAAATGTTAGAGTTCTGATCTTGTTTTAGGGGTTATATAGAAATATAAATTAACACTAAATCTTAGAAAACTATAAAATTAGGTATGTTTCATATTTTTTCCTATAATTTCTAAGGTTTGCTTGTAGATAAAAGATGAAGTGTGGAGGTATGCAAAGACAGCCATGTGTGCTTATAAATTATTTACATGTCTGCTAGAAGTTCCCAGGGGGCAGGGACACAGGACTGCTTTCTAAGTGTTTAACCAATAACACTAAATAGGTTGCCAAATTGGCATATAGTTCCTCACACTTTCTTTGTTGTCCTCTCTCCCTGGCACATCTTTCCCTTTGACTAGTTAACTGGCATTCATCCTGGGGAGCTGGTAAAAAAAAGTGTAGTAGTTAAGGGTTTCTGTTCTGGCATCAGAGTACCTAGGTTTGGAGCCAGACTCCATCATCTTCTTTGGCCTTGGACAAATTACTTATATTTCTATGCCTCAGTTTCCTTTCACTTCCGTGGAATGGATTTCGACTCATAGCAACCACTCCTTGGGTTTCCGAGGCAGTAACTCTATAGAAGTAGATTGCCCAGAGTTCCTTCCAAGGAGTGGCTGGTGGGTTTGAAGTGCCAGCCTTCTGGTTAGCAGTCAAATGCCTTAGGCACTATGCACCAGAGCTCCCTCCTTATTTTTAGATGAGGCAAATTAAGTAAATGAGATAATCCACATAAAGCACTTAGGCCCGTGTCTAACTCTGTATAGATTAGCTTTTTCTTGTAATCCAGCTATGGCTCAGGTATGAAGCCTTTCTTTTTCACCATCAGACTTCTCTAAGACCTCCATGGCATTCTGGGCCTATTCCTAATATATACTTAAACCAGCTCTCCTCAAGTTAATTCTTATACCCAATATCCCATGTTATCAAAGAGAACTGTGCTCCATAGGGTTTTTAATATATGTGACCTTTCGGAAGTAAATTGCCAGGACTTTCTTCTGAGGTGCCTCTGGGAGAATTCCAAGCACCAATCTTCTAGTTAGTCAGGCTCTTAGGTCTGTTTTTGCTACCCAGGGATCCCAATATACTATAAGCTCTATGAAACGTAAAGATTTTGTGCAAGATCTCCTATCACATCTGGAGCTCCTGTACAGAAATGGTGGATTAGTCATCTCTTTTCTCACTCTACTATCTAGTTCAATGCTTAATGTTAGGAGAAACTCAATGTCTAGTTAATCAATGGCACTAGGGAAGCAGTCATTAAACAGACTGCACTAAAAAGCACTAAAAGTTAATCATACACACAAAAAAACTGAATTGTTTTCAAACGTCCTTAGTAGGTTCCACATTGGAAATTTTGGAATATTGGAGCTAGAGAGAACCTCAGAGATCCATACCTTCTGGCTCCATACAGGAAATTGAGGCCCAGAGAGGCTGGCATTTGCCTAAGGTATCACAACAGAGAATTAATGGCAGAATCATAGATAGCATCTGGGTCTCAAGACTGCCAGCACAAGAACTCTTCGTTTCCTGACCCCCAAACTACCGACCTGTGTAGACGCTCAGGAAATATGTCACACACATGTAACAGTTACCGGGGGCCAAGACCCGGTTCATCGCGGATTTTACTAAAGGCGCCCTTCCCGCCCGCGGCGCGGGGAAGGGAGCACTCACTTGACACAGGAAGGTTGGAGAGACTTTCGGTACTTCGCGGTCCCCTCGGGGCCGCCAGCTCTGCGCCCTGGGAGGGTACGAAACCTTACACAGATTCGCAGAGCACTGAGTGTGCTTTGGTTGCTAAGGAGATCCAGCACCTCTCACCCGGAAGAGAATATGAGAGGGCCAGAGACTGAGCCAATCAGAAGGCTCCCGGGCTGAAGGGCTGTGCTGCTGAGCTGGGCCTCGGCGTAGCGCTCCAGGTGAGATCCGTGGGGGTGGCGGAGCCCGGGCAGGTGACTGCTACCGCTGCACCGCTACCCTTTCAACAGCCGCCCTGGGGAAGCAGCGCAGCAAGCCAGGTATGGCCGCCCCTCGCGGGGACAAGGGATGAGTTTGTGTGCGTGGTCTGCGCGTCGTCATGGTTGTCATTGTGCAGTCAGTTCTGCCGCCTCCTTGCTCCAATAGTGGTCGGGGTCCGAGGAGTATCCAGGCCTGGTATGTTCCAGCCAGTCTGCCAGGGACCAGTGTGTCTGCACCGGCAGGATTCCAGGACCGGAACGAGATCGGCAGCTGAAGTTGTCTACGCTCAGGCTGGAGATGGGGGAGACTTCAGGCTCGGAGCGGAGTAAAGGGTTGGGTTTGGAGGGTCTCAGGCTCCCTTTCTTGTCTCTGTCTCCATCTCGAGCTGAATGGCAATCTGGGGACAGGGTTCGGGACATTGTTGGAAAAAAGATACAAGGTCTAGGTATCTGGATGAAACTGCATATTTCGGGATTTATCAGATTTGCCTCCGAGGGAAGTGGCGTGTGGTCAAATGTTTCAGTGCTCTACTTGGCGATGCTGTTCCTGGGAGCGAAACCAGGGTGCGAAACAAAGGATACTCTTACAGCCAAATTTAGGACCGTGCATCCACAATGAAGAAAGGTTGTTGGAGCCTTCCTAGGCTGGGCGAAATAGAATGTGGAGTCTGTCCATGTGAATTATACAAGATAATTCCTATTCCTTGGAAAACGTCTGGGAAAGAGTCATATTGGACAGTTTTTGAACACAACCAGCAAGTCATTCAAAATGTTGAGTAGAGATCACAGATCAAATTGTAAAGGTAACGTTTTCTGGGTTGGTGTGAGACAAGTTGTTGATCACTCTTTAGGGAAGCTAACTGTGGCGGGATCTAGTTGGCTAGCCACTCTTTTTAAAGTCAAAGTACAGTATCTTCTTCCTTTTTTCCTAATGCTTTCTGGACACAAACTTACCTGAGCTCGGTGGTTTTCAAAATGAAGCTCTGATCTACCTGTCGGATTTGATATCCATTCCTTTCCTTTTTTTTTTTTTTAATTTTAAAAATAATAGGTAATTATTGGTGCAAAGCCTTACAGAACTCAGTTTGTCCCATTGTTTTGGTATTTTGTTGAGTGTTTAATGATCACATATATATAGATAGATAGATAGATCTTATATTTATTGTGAGTATACATATATATACCATTGTTTTTACAGAAGAATTTGAGGTAGTGTAACTTCCTTCATCATACCATTCTTATCTTGAATAGAGCTGGAGCCAAAGGAAACTTGTAATGATGTGGGTTTTAAATTTGAGTTGGGAGGCGGACGTGCTTATCTGTAAAATTTAAATTGAGGATACAAGGTGTATGTGTATGGTAAGGAGGAAATATGGTAGAAAAGAGTTCAGCTTTGGAGTCAAACAGGATTGATTCAAACCCTGGCTCCACTGCTTCTAAACTTGGTGAAATTAGATAAGCCATATAAATAATCTGTGTGCCAGTTTCCTTCTCATAGCAACCCTATAGGACAGAGTAGAACTACAGTTACCCTTTAGAGTTTTCGAGGCTGTGATCTTGTAATGGAAGCAGATTGTCACATCTTTCTCCCACAAAGACACTAATGCGGTTGAACTGCTGACCTTTTCAGTTAGCAGCTGAGCTCTTAACCACTGTACCACCAGAGCTCCCCCATATAAAATAACAGAAAATAATCTCTTTTACAAGATTATTAGAGGATTAAATGAAAGAACTCTAACTTTCCCCTCAACTACAGACTCATATATCCAAGTACTTTTTAGACATCTCCATCTGAATATCTAATAGACATGTAAATGTAACGTCCAATCTGAGCTCGAAGCACCCCAAATCTTCCCCAGTATGCCTCTCCAAATACATGGCACCACTGTTTACCCAGTTTATTGAGACCAAAAATCTTGCACTAATTTTTGACTGTTTCCTCTCACATCTTCATTTACCTTTAAAATACATTTAGAATTTCTGACTACTTATCTACTGCACCACTACCATTACTAGTCTAAGCCATAGTATTGTCTCTTTAGTCTGAACAACAGTTAGGTGCCATCACGTTGTTCCCAATTCATAGTGACCCTATGTACAACAGAATGAAATACTGCCCAGTCCTGTGACATCATTATAGTCATTGCCATGCTTGATCCCATTGTTGAAGCCACTGTATCAATCCATCTCATTGAGGGTTTCCCCTTTTCTGATGACCCTCTCCTTTACCAAGCATAATATCTTTTTTCAGAGATTCACTCCTTCTGACAGCATGACCAAAGTACAAGAGAGGAAGTCTGCCCATCTCACATCTAAGGAGCATTCCGGCTGAACTTCCTCCAAAACAGATTTGTGTGTTCTTTTAGCAGTCCACAGTACATTAAATATTCTTTGCCAGCACCACAATTCAAATACATCAGTCCTTCTGTGATCTTCCTTATTCATTGTTCAGCTCTCACAAGCAGATCATTGTTGTTGTTGTTATGTGTCATAGAGTCGGACTCCACTCATCACAACTCCTCCTTGGTTTCCGAGGCAGTATCACTACAGAAGTAGATTGCCCAACCTTCCTTCCGAGGAGTGGCTGGTAGGTTTGAACCGCCAGCCTTCTGGTTAGCAATCAAGTGCCTTAGGCACTACGCTACATGCAGATCAGGCTAGTGAAAATACCATGGCTTGGGTCAGGTGCACCGTAGTCTTCAAGGTGACCTTTTTGGTTTTTAACACATTAAAGATGGTCTTTTGCAGGAGATTTGCCCAATGTTATGTGTCCTTTGATTTCTTGACTGGTGCTTCCATGGGTGTTGATTGTGGATCCAAGTAAAATGAAATCCTTGACAATTTCAATCTTGTCTCCATTTATTATGACATTGCTTATTGGTCCAGTTGTGAAGATTTTAGTTTTCTTTATGTTGAGGTATAACCATACTGAAAGCTGCCTTTGATCTTCATCAGTAAGTGCTTCAAGTCTTCTTCACTTTCAGCAAGCAAGGTTGTATCATGTGCGTATTGCAGGTTGTTAATGAGTTTTCCTCCAATCCTGATACCACTTTCTTCTTCATATAGTCCAGCTTCTTGGATTATTTTCTCGGCATACAAAGTGAACAAGTATGGTGAAAGGATGCAATGCTGACACGCACCTTTCCTGATTTTAATCCATATACTATCCACTTGTTCTTTTTGAAAGATTACCTCTTAGTCTATGTACAGGTTTTTCATGAGCACAATTAAGTGTTCTGCAATTCCCATTCTTCACAATGTTATCCATGATTTCTTATGATCCACACAGTCGAATACTTAAGCACAGTCAATAATACGCAGGTAATCATCTTTCTGGTATTCTTTGCTTTCATCCAAGATCCATCTGACATCAGCAGTGATAGCCCTCATCCCATGTCCTCTTCTGAATCCCACTTTAATTTCTGGGAGTTCCCTGTCAATATACCGCTGCAATGTTTTAAAGTTATTTTCAGCAAAATTTTACTTACACGTAATATTAATGATATTGTTTGATAATTTATGCATTCTGTAGGATCACCTTTCTCTGGAATGGGCACAGCTATGGATCTCTTCCAGTTGGTTGGCCAGGTAGCTGTGTTTCAAATTTCTTGGCATAAATAAGTGAGCACCTCCAGTATTGCATCCGTTTGTTGAAACATCTCAATGGATATTCCACCAATTCCTGGGACCTTGTTTTTCTCCAGTTCCTTCAGTGCAGTTTGGCCTTTTTCCTTGAGTACCGTCCATTCTTGATCATATGCTACCTCCTGAATTAGTTGAATGTTGATCTATTCTTTTTAGTAAAGTAACTCTGTGTATTCCTTCCATCTTCTTTTTGTGCTTCCTGCATTGTTCAATATTTTGCCCAGGGACTATTGCAACTTGAGTCTTAATTTTTTTTCTTCAGTTATTTCAGCTTGAGAAATGCCATGTATGTTCTTCCCTTTTGGTTTTCTAACTCCAAGTCTTTGCACATTTCATTATTATACTTTACTTTGTATTCTCAAGCTGCCCTTTGAAATCTTCTATTCAGCTTTTACTTCATTTTTTTCAATTTGCTATAACTGCTCTCCATTCAAAGCAAGTTGCAAAATCTCATCTGACATCCATTTTGGTCTTTTCTTCCTTTCCTGTCTTTCAAATAACCTTTTGCTTTCTTCAATGTATGGTGTCCTTGATGTCATCCCATGAGTCATCTGGTATTCAGTCATTGATATTCAATGCATCAAATCTGATGGTTTCTAAATTCAGGTGAGCTATACTCAAGGTCATATTTTGGCATCATGAACTTGTTTTAATTTTCTTCAGTTTCTCATTAAACTTGCATATGAGCAATTGATAATCTTTTCCACAGTTAGCCCCTGGCTTTGTTCTGACTGATGATATTGAACTTCTGTATTATCTTTTCCACAGATGTAGTTGGTTTGATTCCTATGTATTCCATTTGGTGAGGTCCACATGTATAAACCAAATCCCCTGTTATTGAGTTGATTCCGACTTAGAGCAACCCTATAGAACAGAATAGAACTGCCCCTAGGGTTTCCAAGGCTGTAAATCTTTATGGAAGCCACCTGTCTCACCTTTCTCCTGTGGAGTAGCTGGTGTGTTTGA